CGCGGCAGCTGCTGGACGCGCGCAGCAGGCTGCTGCTGCTGCTGCTGCTGCTGCTGCTGCTGCTGCTGCTGCAGCAGCAGGTGCGGGGAGGCAGCAGCAGCGCGGAGCAACTCAAGTGGGGGGCTGCTGCGGCGGCAAGGACTGCCTGTCAGCGGCTACTACGGCTGAGCCCTTAGGGTTTAGGGTTTAGGGTTTAGGGTTTAGGGTTTAGGGTTTAGGGTTTAGGGTTTACATCTGCGTTTGGCGAGGGACCAAACCCCGAGGAAGTCGTGGATGCGCCAGGAGGCCCCAATCTTTTCCTTCTTCACTGCGGAGACGAGAGAGTAGCGGCGAGCAGCAGCAGGGAAGCAAACGGGGGGGGCCCCCCTGCTGCAGCAGATGGAGCGGATGCTGCAGCCCTGGTCCACTTCGTCCAGGGCCTCCTGCTGCTGCAGCAGCAGCCCCTGCGGCGCCTGCTGCAGCAAACTCATCGCGCCGGAACCCAGCAGCAGCAGCGGCGGCAGCAGCAGCAGCAGCGGCAGCGGCAGCTACGAAGACAGAGGCGCGCGCGGGCAGCTTAAGTCGCAAGCAGCAGCAGCAGCAGCAGCAGCAGCGGGACCGCGGCTGCAGCAGCAGCAGCAGCAGCAGCAGCAGCAGCAGCAGCTCGGGCTGGGAGGGGCCTCCAGGGGCCCCTTTCCCTGTCTTTGGCCTGAGCACAGGCGCCAACGCCTCAGGGGGCCCCCTTTGCTGCTGCTGCAGCTTGCTGCTGCAGGTGGGGGCCCGGGCGCTGAGGTGTACGTACACCTGGTGGCTCGCGCTGCTGCAGATCTCAGTGACCCTCGCCGGAAAGAGGGATTGGGGGCCCTCAGAGGGAAAAGGGCCTCGAGTTTTTGTCTTTTAAGAAGTAAAAACGAAAAAGCAAAATAAAAAGAAAGAAAAAAGAAGGAAAGAGGGTTTGCTTTCTGCTGCTGCAGCGGGCGCCTGAGCGCCGAGGCTTTGTCGGCTCCGTGCCTACTGAGGACGCCCTTTCGCCGCGCGCGCGGGCAAAGACAATGAAATAAAAACGCAAGAGGAATTAATAAACCTTTTTGAATTTATTAAGAGAAAAAGAACAGAAAAACTCCTTCTAGAAAGCCTCGCTCGCCGCTCCGCCGTCCGGCGGTCGCCGCGGAGCCCACGGGCACACACTTCACCCCCGCGCCGCCGCAGCCGCCTATTCCTCTTTTCCCCCAAACTTTCCTCTTTTTTCTTCAAATTTTAATTCCTAATTTCCATTTTATTTCCTTTTATTTCAACTGAGTCCAAGTTGGCCGAAATGGGGCGGCGGCAGCTCCAGATCGGCGTTGCGCCGACGCGCGCAGCAGCTCGCCGCACGCTGCAGTGACCCTCACACCCCCCCTCCTTTTTTTGTCTTTTTTCCAATTATATTTTCATTTAAATGGTTTATTAATAATTAAATTATATTTTAATCCAAACTTGCATGTTTTTGCGCTGCCAGGAGGCGAAAAATCCGCCATTTAGACCCTCCCCGTGCAGCACCAGCAACCCCTGCCCCTGCCACGACAGAGCCCGCAAACCCTAAACCCTAAACCCTAAACCCTAAACCCTAAACCCTCGCCAAATCCTACGTCCTTAGCAACTGCAAACGTGCAAACCTGGCATCTAGAAAACCCTCTCAAATACGCAGCAGAGAGGCCCCCTGCAGCAAACGGGAAAACCCTCCCCAGCAGTTGCCGTCGCTGCTACTGCTGCTGTTGCTGCTGCTGTTGCTGCTGTTGCTGCTGCTGCTGCTACTGTTGCTGCTGCTGTTGCTGCTGTTGCTGCTGTTGCTGCTGTTGCAGCGTTTTCGGAACCCGCTCTTTCTCTCTCTCCAGTGTTACTCTATGTAGCTTCTCACCCTGTGTGAGGTGACCCTATGCCGTAGATCCTCTGCTGCCAAACCCTAAACCCTAAACCCTAAACCCTAAACCCTAATGTTTTAGGACAGACAACAGCAAAAACACCAAAGACAAGAAAGCGTGTCACGGGCAAGGGTCCGCGAGCTGTCTGTGTCTTCTAGCGGAAAACTCCGAGCCCCACACCCTGAACCCCAAACCCTAAACCCTAAACCCTAAACCCTAAACCCTAAACCCTCGACACATTGGCCGTCAAGCTTCTTCTTGCGGCAGCGCCAGGAGCCGCAGGCGAACTGCCTGAGCCAGCTCGGCGACCTGCAGCAAAAGCCGCATGCGCAGCCCCAGACGCTGCACCCCAAACCCTAAACCCTAAACCCTAAACCCTAAACCCTAAACCCTCGCTAGGGTTTGCGACTCACGTCAGCAGGCACAGGGCTAGGCGCGTCGCAAAACCTGAGGGTTTGTTCTACAAAGGAGAGAGCAGCAGTCCGCAGCTTTCTCCCCTCAGCTTCGCTGCCCCTGAAGGCGCTTTTTTCTGAACGCAAACCCTAAACCCTAAACCCTAAACCCTAGCCCGCAAACCCTAGACCCTACCCCCTCAATGGGAACACGCCCAGCAGCCCCCGCGGGCGCCTCGCAGGGCGCAGAGAGACGCGCAGCTGCTGCGCCGACGGCCAGGGTTTACAGCTTAGGGTTTAGGTTAGGGTTTAGGGTTTAGGGTTTAGGGTTTAGGGTTTGGGGCCTGACCCGTCGATATAACTTGGGCTATCAGCCGCAACAAAGACAAACAAAAATAAGAAGCAAATGGGGGCCCGCAGAGCCGCAGCAATTCGGAGAGAAAGAAGCGGCAGATGCTTCTGTCCGTGTGTGCGTACTGCAACGCCCACAAACCCTAAACCCTAAACCCTAAACCCTAAACCCTAAACCCTAAGCCTTGTGGCCCGGATCTGAGCGATAAACTGACGCAAATTAACTCCTCAGTATCTGAACCCACGTCTGCAGCCTCTGCTCTCCAGCGGCTTAAGACAAAGGGTTTAGGGTTTAGGGTTTTGAAACGTGGGTGCTTCGAGGCTAAGGGTTGCTGCTCTGTTCTGCCGCTAAGTGCTGCTAGGGTTTAGGGTTTAGGGTTTAGGGTTTACGACGCGTTTGAAAACCGAAATGACTGCCACAAACTCTCCCTCATATTTGCAGACATAAAGCCAGAAGCGAACAATGCAAACCCGCCGCTGCAGCAGTAGCAACAGCAGCAGCAGCAGCAACGGCAGCAGCAGCAGCAACGGCAGCAGCAGCAATCGCAGCAGCAGCAGTATGAGAAGCAGCAGCAGAAAATGCAGCGTCCCTCGGCAGCAGCAAGTGTGCCGCTGTGAAACAACAGCAGCAAAGGCCGGAAGCCAGCAAACTGCAAAGAATGCGAAAACCCTAAACCCTAAACCCTAAACCCTAAGCCCTAAACCCTTGAATGTACCTCCATGCGCTTCTCAGCAAGAGCAGGAGCTTCTCCTCGGTTGCCTCCACAAACGAACAGCCGCCTGAGCAAACGACAAGCCCTGAAACCCTAAACCCTAAACCCCAAACCCTAAACCCTAAACCCCAAACCCTAAACCCTAAAACCCAAAGCCTCAGAGAGAGCATGCGCAGCTATTGAGGCTATCAGCTCAGGCGGCGCAACTGCTGCTGCCGTGCTGGCTGGGGCAGCAGCAGTTGTTCTTTTTGCTACTTTTGCAGCAGCAGCTGCTGCTGCTGCTGCTGCTGTTGCTGCTGCTGCTGCTGCTGCTGTTGCTGTTGCTGCTGCTGCATGCGTACCCCAGAAGGTCAACAACTGGGGGCCTTTTGTTGCGGTGTAAATCGACCATGAGCTTGAGCAGCACGAGAAGCCCGTCTGTGACGAGCAGCAGGGGGTCTGCTGCTGCGTCTGCTGCTGCTGCTGCTGCGCTGCTGCTGCTGCTGCTGCTGCTCAGCAGCTGCTGCCGCACAAACGACAGCACTGCAGAAGCAGCAACATTGGTCCCCATACACCCCAGCAGCGCCTGCCACTTCGCGCACAGCGGCCAGTCCTCGCGGCGGCAAATGCGGTATATCTGAAGCCACAAACCCTAAACCCTAAACCCTAAACCCTAAACCCTAAACCCTAAACCCTAAACCCTAAGCCCTAGCCCTGGATCGGGGAGGCGCTGCAGAAGCACCGCTGAACTCCCCGAGGAATCCGCTCCTGCCGCGAGCAGCGTTGGCTGTGCGTTGCTGCTAGGGTTTAGGGTTTAGGGCTTAGGGTTTAGGGTTTAGGACCTCCAGGAGTTCCTTTCTGGCAATGGCCTTGTAGCTATCCACTGATTTAGCGTATAACTGAAACCTCCGACTTATTCTTTGTTGCTGCCGCTGCGGCAGATGAACTCCGCGGCCAAGTCTGCTGCTGCCTCGGGCGCTCACGAAGACTTCGCTGCCCAGCAGGCTGCTCGTCTCTGCTGCTGCTGCTGCTGCTGCTGGGCCTGCTGCTGCTGTTGCTGCTGCTGCTGCTGCTGCTGCTGCTGCCGGGGCTGAAAACGACGCTGCGGGAAAGGGACTCGACTCTGCAGGCGCTGCTGCGTACGCGCTGAAGGCTTTGCCACCTCCGAGGTACAGCGGCTGCTGCTGCTGCTGCTGCTGCTGCTGCTGCTGCTGCTGCTGGGGGGCTGGCGGCAGCGGGTGGTGCCACGGCTGCTGCTGCGGCGGCTGCTGCTGCCAGCCCCGAGTCTCCACTGCTGAAGGTGCCACAGAAGTGACCAGGCTGCTGGAGGTGAGGCTGCTGCTGCTGCTGCTGCTGCTCTCCGTGATGGATGCTGCAGCAGCACAGCACATCGAGCTACCCGAGCAGCTGCAGCAGCAGCAGGAGCAACAGCAGCAGCAGCAATAGCAGCAGCAGCAGCAGCGGCAGCAGCAGCTGCTGCAGCTTACAAGTGTCGTAGTCGCTCCTCTTCTCCCAACCCTCTTCATCATTTACGCTCTCGGGAATGAGCGAGCGGGGGTCTTGGTGCGTGTGTTGCTGCTGCTGCTGCTGCTGCTGCTGCTGCTGCTGCTGCAGGAACAGCTGCTGCTGCTGCTGCTGCCGCTGCTCCAGCTGCAAGGGGTCGGCCTCCGGCTCGTGCTGCAGCGGTACAAAGTACTGCTGCTGCAAATGCTGCTGCAACGGCTGCTGCAACGGCTGCTGCAGCTGCTGCTGATGCAGCAGTGGCTGCTGCTGGAGATGTTGCGGCTGCAGTGGCGGCGGCTGCTGCAGCTGTTGCTGCTGTAGGTGCTGCTGCTGCATGTGCTGCTGCAACAGGTGCTGCTGCAACTGCTGCTGCTGCAGCTGCTGTTGCTGCAGCTGCTGTTGCTGCAGCTGCTGTTGCTGCTGATGATGCATATGCTGCTGCAGCACATCGAGCGAGGGGCTAAAGCCGGGTGCGGGCTGCTGCTGCTGCTGCAGATGCTGCAGCGGATGTAACTCTTGCAGCATCATATGCTGCTGCTGTTGCTGCTGCTGCTGCTGGACGTAAATTAGCTGCTGCGGATTGTAGAGCTGCTGCGCAGCGGCATCCTGCTGCTGCTGTTGCAGCGGGTGTAGCGGCTGCTGTTGCTGCTGCTGCTGCAAAAACAGCTGCTGCGGCTGCTGCTGCAAAAGCAATGCATGTGGGGCCTTGTCTTCAACTTGCTGCTGCTTAAAGAACTGCTGCTGCGTTCTGAATGAAGCGCCTGAAGCAGCAGCAGCGGCAGCAGCACAACCGGCAGCAGCAGCCGTGAGACTCTGGCACAAGCAGCAGCAGCAGCAGCAGCAGCAGCAGCAGCAGCAGCACATGCTGCCTCAAAGCGCTTGATTCATACCAGCGCGACAAGACGAAAAGCAGCAGCAGCAGCAGCAGCAGCAGCAGGTGACCCTGCTACTGCGTCATCTCATGTCGCCGCGTCTGTTGCTTCAGCTGCTGCCGCTGCTGCCGCAGCAGCAGCAGCAGCAGCAGCAGCAGCAGCAGCAGCAGCTACTGCACTTGCCTGGCAAATGATGCTCCGGCTCTTCAAACAAATCTTCCATTTGGAGGCGCTGCTGCTCTGCTTCGGAAATGTCTGAAAGGGAGGACTGGTTGCTCGACCACTGAAATACACAAACCCTAAACCCTAAACCCTAAACCCTAAACCCTAAACCCTAAACCCTAAACCCTTTGCAAGTGGCTTGAAGCTTGCAGGCCCCGCAGCCTGCTTTCGCAACCCCGCGTAGATGCTGCCCCCCGACGCAGCACTTCGCCCCCGCTGTAAACCCTAAACCCTAAACCCTAGACCCTGAGCCGCAAACCCTAAACCCTAAACCCTAAACCCTAGTCGCTTGCCTCGTCGGAGCTTCTTTGCATTTCTTCGGGGTCTCCGTCGAATTGCCAGGGCTCGTGTTCAGCTTGCTGCTCCTGGTCGTGCTGCAGCACGAGCTGCTGCTGCTGCTGCTGCTGCTGCTGCTGCTGCCGCTGCTGCTTGCGGCCCTCCCACCACCTGCGGGTTAACTCGTAGGCGCTGCGCACGCAAAGGGCCACGAGGAGGTTTGTGTACTTAAGGAACTGTGGCTCTCCGCTGCCGGGGGGTCTGCTGCTGCTGCTGCTGCTGCTGCTGCTGCTGCTGCTGCTGCTCAGCCGGTGGGTTGTCTGGTGCTTCTGCTGCAGCTGCAAACGAGGGTTTACGAAGTCATCCAGCAGCGAATCCAGCAGCGCCGTTTCCCGCAGCGCTGCCAGCGGCGGCTCCACGGGGGCCCCCCTGCAGCGCGCAGCAGCAGCGAGGGTTTAGGGTTTAGGGTTTAGGGTTTAGGGTTTGGGCTTGGCTGGCCGGCGGAGAGGGTTTGCGGGTTGGGGCAAAGCGAGGCTGCAGCTTCTTTGCGCTCTGCAGCTCGTAATGATGGCTTGAGGCGCGCGAGGCCAGAGAGCTTAGGGTTTAGGGTTTAGGGTTTAGGGTTTAGGGTTTAGGGTTTACCGAGTCCTGCGGTACTCCAAATGCCACGGCCGGGACACTCCGTACTGACTCGCAGAAGGCATTTCTAAAACATCTTCTTCAAGGGGCCCCTCTTCTGGCTGCTGCTGCTGCTGCTGCTGCTGCTGCTGCTGCGGTGGGCAGTGGAGCTGCTGCTGCGGAGGGCTGATGATCTGCTGCAGCGCCTGCTGCTGCTGCTGATGTTGCTGCTGCAGTTGCTGCCGGTGTTGCTCTGCTTGCTGCTGCTGCATGCGCATGGTGGTGAACCCCGTGGTGCTGCAGCTGAGGCTGCTGCTGCTCAAGCTGCTGCTGCTGAGGCTGCTGCTGTCGCTGCTGCTGCTGCTGTCGACGGAAACTACGGTTTCCTCGAGACTTCTTCGCCTCTTGTTGCGCTGCTGCTGCTGCAGCGCTGGTGGCACGTGCTGCAGCCCCTGCAGGTAAGGATTTTGTCGTTGCTGCTGCTGCTGCTGCAGCTGCTGCACATCCTGCATAGGCGCAGCAGCAGCAAAGCCTTGCATGTGTAGCTGCTGCAGCTGCAGCGGGTGCTGCTGCGGCGCCGCTGCAGCAGCAGCGGGGCCCGCGAAGGGCTCCGCGCCTGCGGCCGTGAGCGCTGCGTCCGCAGCAGCACTTGCTGCTGCTGCTGCTGCTGCTGCTGCTGCTGCTGCTGCTTTCTTGGGGGGCGCAGGCCGCTCGTACAGCAGCTGCTGCAGCCCCTCAAACTGCTGCAGCAGCTGCTCAACTATGTCGCAAAGGTCGCATGCATCTGCGGGCGCCAGGTGTATGTCCACCCCGATGAACAGCGAACGCGTTATGCTTCGAAACAAAGCTGCCAGACGAGGAAACCTGAGAAACACCCAAACCCTAAACCCTAAACCCTAAACCCTAAACCCTAAACCCTAAACCCTGTACGCTTCGGTGACTAAGGGCACGGCAGGCGGGGGTGCCGATGCGGGGTGCATTCCCGCGCCAGCTGCGGCTGCAGCTGTGTGAAGTGCTGCTGCTCTTGCTGCTGCTGCTGCTGCTGTTGCTGCTGCTCTTGCTGCTGCTGCTGCAGGGCCAGGCTCACTCATCCAAGTTCGTGAGCAGCAAGTAAAGCTGAGCAGCAGAAACCTCGCGCTGCCTCTCAACGTGGGTGGGGGCGTCAGTTGCTGCTGCAGCAGAGGGGGAAGCAGCAGCGTCATCCGCAGCAGCGGCGGCCTGCTGCTGCTGCTGCTGCGGCGCAGCAGCAGCAGCAGCAGCAGCAGCAGCAACACCCCCCGGCTGCACCACCAGCCGCGTCAGCAGCTGCGCAAGCCGACGAGCTCCGCTCAAGTCCGGCCTCCATCCAGCGACGAAGATAAAAAGCGCCAAAGCATAAAAGTAGGCGTTTTCTGCAGCAAACCCTAAACCCTAAACCCTAAACCCTAAACCCTAAAGCCGGAACCCTAAACCCTAGATAGGCCCTAGCCCCTCTTCGCCACAAGGTCAGCGCCCCAGCAAGCGCCCCGCCGATCCTACCCACGGACTGTAGATACAAGGGCTTCTCCACGTAAACCCTAAACCCTAAACCCTAAGCCCTAAACCCTAAACCCTAAACCCTGTTTGCTCACCGGCGTGCAGGAACAGGGCAGATATATTCGACAAGTTCATCGAAAACAACTCTTCTCGCTCATCCTGAACAGCAACACTAAACCCTAAACCCTAAACCCTAAACCCTAAACTTTAAACCACAGCCCCAAAACCCTGAACTCAAAGGTAGGCCTCGAAGGGTTCAGGGTTTTGCCGCCTTTAAAGGGTTTAGGGTTTAGGGTTTAGGGCTTTGAGTTTAGGGTTTACTCGAAGCAAGAAACTCCTCAACTCCTCACTGACACGCAGCGTAAACACCGAGAAGTTGCTCGTCAGGCGAGATTGCTGCAGCAGCTGCAGCACAGCAGCAGCAGCAGCAGCAGCAGCAGCAGCAGCAAGAGCAACAACAGCATGTTTCCAGCAGCTTGAGCCCCAGGCAAAGCAACCATTGTAGTTCAAAAGTCGAACACCTAAACTAAATCCTAAACCCTAAACCCTAAACCCTAAACCCTAAACCCTAAACCCTAAACCCTCGACACCTTCGCCGTGAGCACTGCTTCTGAGTCTG